GGAGTCATGTAGACCTGTGAGTGGATGGATAACAAATTTTACTCCAAATGTGCTCTATAGGGTGTATGTGTATGTGTGTGTGTGTATGTCTGTACGTATGTCTGTGTATATGTGTATGTTTTGATAGTCACTTATCCTAGTAGCAGACATGAACTCTTATACATAAGGCACTTTTGATCATTTCTCTCAACATTACAAAATAGATCCAGCTGTAAGATGATATTAAAGTTGTTTTTCTCATCTACCTTGTATTGAGGCCAGATAACATTACAGTAAAATATTGGCTCAAAATTTTTTTTTAGGTTCTGAGGATCAGACTTATCCTGTCTCTTAAGGTTATGTTGTAGCTATAAGTCTAAGGAAACTGAACGTGATTTCCCAGACTCCAAGGGAGACAGGAATTAGGGTTAAGTGGGCTAAGTGAGATTTTATGGGTCATTTATATGCCATCCTCTTCTACAGGGACTTTCCTCAAGCATGTTCCCTTAGTAGAATGAAGCCCAGGTGGGAAAGTTCCAGTTTTCTGCTGCTGCTACTTTTATGTTACCCTATGAAGTCTCCTTCTCCACTTTATTCCCTAGTTTCTCTACTCTACGCCAGTCAAGCTGAAGATGCCATTCTCCTTTCAGGAAACTCCACAGTGACTTTGGAACAGTGGATGGTTGCAGCACCTCAAAATGAGCTGCCTTAGAAACTTGCTGCTTAAGGAAGACCTAGGGAAAATCCTTTTGTTACTTAAGTGGTCGTCTTTAGAGACAATATCTGGGACACTTGCTTGTTTCCTTTGGGTTCATTTCAGTATTTTTCCAGAGCTTTATAAACTCTGGGCTTGATGGTTGCTCTGAAGTGATAGGACAGTGTAGAGATGGGGGCCTGTCTCAGTGTGATAGTATTTATTGTACAAAAACTGTCAGGGCCAACTGGGAGAGAGTTTTGGGGCTAAGGTTGGATTTCCAGAGATTTCTGTAGGTAGCCATTTCCTGAAGTTTGATCCAGGGAATTCTGGCTCCACAGGGAAATAACTGTTAATTGCTGGAGAAGGAGTGGTCTTCTGGCTAGATGCAGGTAAGTTTTCTGTGGTAGCTGAAGTCCTGCCCCAAAGGGGCAAGAGTGTTGTGTTCCCTACATTTCTTTTTCCAAGGACACTTTATTTGTGCTTTATTTGTTGTTTGGTTTTTTTTCTGTTTTATTGAAATAGGGTCTCAAATTTTTTCTGCCTCAGCCTATTAATTACGGGATTATAGGCATGTGTTACTATGCTTGCTGTGTCTGTGGGGTTTTGTTGGTTGGTTGTTTTGTTTTTATTTTTCATTGTTATTGTTGTTTTGAGACTGTCTTTTGTATCCAAGGCTGGCCTCAACTTCACTATGTAGCCAAGGATGACCTTAAACTTCTGGGTCTCCTACTTCTACCTCCTGAGTGCTGAGGTTACTCTGTTACCAGAGTTACCGCCTGTGCCCCAACAAGCCAGGTTTAGTCACTCATCCCCAATAATGCAAGTAAAAGAGCCAAATTAACAGCAGAACACAGAAAAGGAGATTTTTTCTCAATGTTGCCACATTGGGAAAAGGACAAATAGATCCATCTTCTGGGACATGAAGTATAGGTTCAAGTAGAGGCCAAAGTTATGCCTATCTAAGCAGTCCTGGTCAAGGTGTGGTCTTGCCCATCACTTACCCATCATTGTTTTGCTGTACTCTCCTGCAAAGTGGTCTGAAAAATTGTAAAATTCTCTTTCCAGAAGTTTCCCTTCTGATTGGTCCAAGTTTTAGGCTTTCTCTTCTCCCAGCTGATTACTCTGGAGGCAGAGGCAAGCGAATCGCTGTAAGATCAAGGCCAGCCTAGTCTACATAACAAGTTCCAGCTCCTTTCCATCTCTTCTTTGGATACAGGTCCAAACCCTAAGCATGTCAGCTCTGGCTCTATTTATTCTCTCTTCCTGAAGAACCTCTTCCTCCTTTTATCTAGATGTCTGTCATGCCCACCCCAGTTTAGACCATAATTCACATGGCAGTTCCCCTTCTCTTAAAAATCTCTTCTTGGACTGGAGAGATGGCTCAGTGGTTAAGAGCACTGACTGCTCTTGTACACATGGCAGCTAACAACTGTCCATAATTCCAGTTATGCCCTCTTCTGACCTCCATGGGCACTGCATGACATGGGTGCACTTACATACATGCAGGCACTATACACATAAAAAATGAAGCAATGACACTTCCACAGTCCAAGAATCACCCCCCAAACATTTACACTCATACACACATATACTCATACACACTTCAAAAAGAGTACACCAAAGATCATAATTTCCAATGCACAATGAGTTCAAAAGAAAAATGCAGAAATGAAATGGTCAGAGGTTTCTTTTAAAATTTATTTTTCTTTTAAAATTTATTTTAATTAATTAGTTAATATTAATTAGTTAATAGACTTAGAGGTCATAGCCTGTGTTCCAACAAGTCATGTTTGACCTTATCCTCAAGAAGTCAATTAAAAGTGCCAAATAGTGAAAAGGAGAAAAAGGAGACTTATTAAATGTAGCCAAATTGGGAAGAGTGGCAGAGATCTTGTCTCCCCACAAGTACGTCTTTGGGATCCTGACATGAGGGTAGGGTTTATGCAGAAGCAAGAGATATGCATTTCTAAGCAGTCCCTAGATGTGGTCCCCTACCCACCTTTGCCTCAGATCCAATATCTTTTGCAAGGTCAGCAGGTCAGCTAAAGAGTTCTTTGGATGCCCTTAGGGTTTCATCCTTGTACCAGCAGGAGATTCCAGGGGAATTTTGGGGGGGGAGAGGTAGGTCTTAATAGTCTTGTTACAGACATTTTTGGGTGTTCTTTCATGGTTCTGTGTCATGATGAACTTGCTACGGGTGGCAGACACCCCAAAATGTGCCTTTTGCTGTCTTCATGGTCACCATGATTGCTCCCAGACAGGATCACAACCTGTTCCCCAACAAGCCAAGTTCAGTCCCCTGTCCTCCATAAGTCAAAAAAAACAAAAACAAAAACCAAATTAATAACAAAAAGCAGAAAAAGATGTATTCAGTGTGGGCACATTGGGGAAAGGGACAAATAGATCCAATGGACCCTGCCCCACAAGTTCATCTTCAGGGTCCTTCATGAGGTTTAGATTTAAGTAGAAGGCCTATCTAAACAGTCCTGGTCAAGGTGCAGTCCTGCCATCACAGACCCATCATTGTTTCAGCTCCACTCTTCTGCTAGGTGGGCTGACAAGTTGCAAATTTTCTTTCTAGGGAAGTTTCCCTTCTGACTGATCCAAATTTTAGGCTTTCTCTTCTCTTGACATGAGATTCCTAGGGGTGCTCTAATGTCTTGAGGTCCATTGTTTTATCTGATAGCCAAGGGGAGGAACACAAGTGTTGCTTTAGAATAGCTGCATCCTTGCCAGTCCAGTTACACTATGCCTGGTTTATGTGATGCTGGGGATTGAACCAGGGCCTTGTGCATACTAGGTGAATGTTCTTCCAACTGAGCTGCATCCTCAAGCCCCATGTATCTGTGTTTAATATTGGTCATACAATAGACCAGTATTCTTCAGCTTGCTGTGTTGTATTCCAACAACAGCCAGGATTGCTCCCAGAAATGCGTTTGGGTGTCTCTGTGGCCTGCTTAGGAACAGGCATCTTGAAGAGGGATATGTAGAGCCGGCCATGATCAAGCTGCATTTGCATAGCAAGGACATTGTACTGAAAGGTCACCGATGACTTAAAATACTAAAATGGCCCAATGGTGCCTTTGGTTGCCAAATTTCCAGGTCTGTTTATCAAAAATTCATTTATTCAGAAAAGAGGAGCTGGGGTGGGGACACTAAAGCCCCCTTCCCTTGGTGCCTCATTGTCCATGGCAAGACCATCCTTGGAGTCCATGTACCTGTGTAACTTAGGCATATTTTCATTTCTAGGCCCAGCTTTTCCCATAGGAGCTGGACGAGAGTGTGTCAGACTGTCTTGCTGCACCCTTTGTACTCTGAGGTGGTCCTATGTGTCCCACCTCAGTGGCAACCTGGCAACCTGAGCCTCTCTGTTTGTGTCTGCTTTAGATGTTGGTGTTTCTGTAAAGGCTGAATTTAAACCACCTGTTTCTGAAGGTAAAAATGTCTAAAAACCATAGGAAACATGGCCTCACTGTTCTCTGGGACCTGCAGAGTCTGGAAGTTTGGACATCAGTTGCCTGATAGGTTTATAGATATTACTGAAAGGCCAGAGGGTCACTGATAAATGTCTCTAGAGAGTTTTGTAAGGAACATAACCTGTGGGATAGCACTCAGAAAGAAGCCTAGGTTGTTGTCCTTCAGTTCTATTTTTTGGTACAAGTGACTAGAAGCTAAGGGCCTCATATCTGTATATGTGGTGGTGGTGGTGGGGGACCTGCAGACTTATCCCATGGGCAGTTACAAGTCTGTTTCATCTATAAGCAAAGTAGGGAACTCCATAAGTTTATTCTTAATTTACAGAAACATTAAAATTATTACAGTGAAAGTCAGAACTTGGTTGAATGGTCTCATATCTTACTTTGCCGTAGTCTTGCTTTCTATTGTGATTTAAATGTACCTGTGTAGCTTGTGGGACACCATCTCTTCAGTGCCTAGGATCCTGAAAAAATCCCCTTGCATGGGCCAGCTGATAGGTATATTATCAAAAGGACATTTTTCTTCTAACCTTTAGCATCAGCTGCATGAAGCCCTGCCTGTTCTGGCCAGATTCTTAAAATAACTGCCATCAACAGCCTCTCAAAGAGGAATGTTAAACACTACCATGATGTCAAAGGGTTCCCGGGGAGAAGGGCCTGGGACAGTGGCTGAGTGGAAGACAGGCAAGGCAGAGGGAGAAGAGAACTTGTCCTCTCAGCTCTACAAACAGCCCAGGCAGTGGGAAGGCTGGTGCTGTGGGACAAGATTCAACCACGGAGGACAATGACCTTTCAAACATTATCATCTAAGTGAGAAACAGGCCTATGGTTCTTCAGCCTGAACAGGGATGTCAGGAGTTTCGAAGGAGGGTCCTGGTTCCCTGGGTCTGCCAGTGTTGGGCAGGACCTGTTTAGCCACCATGGACAAAAAGCTTACCATGCTGAATGAGAAGGTAGACAGACTCTTGCATTTCCAAGAAGATGTCACAGAGAAGCTGCGGTGCGTGTGCCAAGGCATGGGCCACCTGGAGCAAGGTCTGAATCGGCTGGAGGCCTCCCGAGAGCCGGGTCTGGCAGGGACTGACAGCATTCCTCCAGCCACTGGGCAGGCTGGGTGGGCTGAGGTCCTGGAGCTGGTAAGGGCTGTGCAACAGGATGGTGCCCAGCATGGTGCCAGACTGGAAGCCCTCTTCAGGATGGTGGTGGCTGTGGACAGGGCCATTACTTTGGTGGGGGCCACATTCCAGAACTTGAAGGTGGTCGATTTCATCATGCAAGGGAATGCCCCCTGGAGGAAGGGCAGCCTGGCTGATGACCCTGAGAAGGTTGGTTCATGATTCCCTGCCTTGACTGGAGGTGGGGAGGGGCAGGGACCCTGGTGGGGAGCCTGTCTAAGAAAAGAGTCTCAGCAGAGCTACAGAGATGTTGTGTCCTTACTGTGCCTTCTGTGTCTTGTTGATGGGGAAAATGAAAGATGGAAGCTTAGAAATCATAGGTGAATTTCCAGACAGCCCATTGACCACTGCCATCCCAAACAAAGTATGAGGTAATACTCTAGTCAGAATATAGGACTCTGGGCAGCACTAGACAACATAGATGTGAGGGACAAACTAGGTATCAGGGAGAGGAGGCTGTTGGGCTGCTTTAACATCCCTGGGGCTTCTTTCTTCCCATGAGCCCCTTTCTTATCGCCCCTACTCATCAACCCACTTCCCTTCCTGTCCCCAACATTGTGCTTTGTTTCAAAGTGGGCAAAGTATGCAACTGTCTGTGGGGAAATAAATGTTGACAGTGACCCATGGGAGACAACAGGCAGAAGTCACAGTCCAAGGAGGAAAGGCATTTCTGGGCATCACCATTCCCAAGGATTGTATAATCGTACCTGCTGGCTAATGGAAGCTTTTCTACTAGGGCTTGGGGGTGGTGGTGGTGGTGAAGTGTGTAGAGGGAACACCGTGTTTGGGAACAAATGAGAGCCACTTGGCAACAGCAGATGGCCTTGGAACTACCATTTGAGATCCCTTTGATTAACATCTGCCCTGGCAGGGAATGAATTGGGGTCTAATTGTGGAGGATGCTTTCCTATCCAACCCAGCTAGACTGCAGGTAACCCAGCTCAGTGCTTCCTATCCCTGTCTGCAGCTCCTCCGAGTGCACACCTCTCCCTAGGCAACCTGCCATGCACTCTGTAGCCCTGGAGACCTGGCCTACAAGGGGAGATGGGACCTTTGCAGTGGCTCTGGCCACAGATAATCAACCTGGGCTTTTCAAAAGAAAAATAATCTAATTAAACCTGTTAAAATAAATCTAAGTAATAACTTTTAAAAGAAAATTTAATACTCTCATAGTGAAAAAAATTCATGTTTTTTAAACCCTGGGTTTAATCCCTAATACCAAAAATGAGAAACAGAACCAAATGAAAAATTTTAAAAACTCCAAAAACCTAGTATAAAAGGGAGGGAAAGCAGCCCAACAGGGTCTGCCTAAAGATAGTCTATACAAGTCCCTTTCTAGTGGTGAGGGGACGAGGAGGAGATCTGTGGGAATGCCACTAGTTTCTCAAACAGGTGTGGCAGGATCAGATCCTGCAGAGGAAAGAGAAAGAAGCACTATCAGCTGCACAGAAGGGCTGGGCCACAGTGATGATAATCATCATAGCAGCTAGCATATTTTCAAAGTGCTTGCCATGTGCCAAGTGCTAATCTATGTGCTCTCCATGTGTTATACCTTTAGCATTAAGAAAGTAAAATTGGGATGGCAAGATGGCTCAGTGTCATAAAGGTTCTTGCTGCCAAGTCTGATAACCTGAGTTTGATCCCTGGGACCTATGTGGTAGAAGGAGAGAACCAAGTCCTACAAGGTTGTCATGTGACCTCCAAGGGCATATGCTCCTAAGTACACACACACACACACACACACCACACACACACACACACACACACACACACACACACACAAATAAATATAAATAATAAAATAATAATTATAAAGCCTGGTGCCCTGGAATCCCAAAGGTATGAGAAAATAACAGGAATGCAAGTGTAGAATTCAGTGTAGAAAAAACAGGCAAGGAACAATTGGGAGAGGGGAGGACTTTGGGTCTCCGTTAGGGGGAACTGCCCTCAGCTGAGCTTTATCATTTGTGCTTAGAGTTGCCAGATTGTCCATTTTTCAAGAGAAAAAAAATTGTTTTACTCAGACTTATTATTAAGGCCTAACAATTGACAATTAATTTATTAAGGCATTACTTAAATGCACTAAATTTTACACACCCATACAAACTATGATTTTTTTTTTTTTTGAGAGAGAGTAGCCCCTGTGTAGTCCTGGGTGGCCTGGAACTCACAGAGATACGTCCGCCTCTGCCTCTGGAGTGCTGGGATTAAAGGCTTATGACACCATACCTGGCTTAAACATTTTAAGTATACAGTTCAACAAATGTACAAAATATTGCCTCATCCTAGAATTTTAATCTGAAGGTTTAGATTTTCAATGTTGGTAACAAATGAAAATCTTTAAAATGCTGCAGAAATAAAATGTGTCCCTGGTTTTGTTGTTGTTGTTGTTGTGGTTGTTGTGTTTGTTTCGAGACAGAGTCTCATTTTGTAGACCATACTGGTCTACAACTCACAGGGATCCCACCTGCCTCTGCCTCCTAAGTGCTGGGAACTCCTCAGCTGTTTAGGCCTTTGGGCTTCCCAGTAAGGATCTCTTTGGCCAAGGCAGGAGTGGCCCATTACTGGCGGGTCATATGTTGGGGTCCCAGACTCTGGCCTGTGGAACAGAACTGCTGCTATGACTTGTATCAGGAGTCGTATTTGGGAACTTCACTAGTCAAAAGCTCAAAACCCAGTGGGTCCTAGCAAGTGGTAGAAATGTTTTCTGCAGAGCTCACTATTGGGCTGTGCCAATCATCCAGAATGACTAGCACCATTTCAGGACTCTGAGCATGTGCACACTAGACTCTGGTCTCTGGCAGACATTTCAGGTTTAAAGAAAAGATACTGAGTGTTCCTCTGGGCCAGCACTCAGCATCCTTACACAGTGGGCTCATTGACACTGATAACTTTTTGTTTCAAAGTAACTACAGCTGTTGAGCACCTTCTATGTGTTGGGCACACTTCTCAATACATGTAAAAAATTAGTTTTCTCAGCCTCCTGTTGACTCTTTGAGGCAGATAATATTTCCTAATGGGATAATTCCTGGTTTTACAGGTGAGAAAGTGAGATGCTGAGGAGGCTGACCAAGCATAGCTCCTGGCTATGCTGCTGCACTGGAAAGGAGTGGTGTGGCATCTGCCCATCCAGCTCTTAAGCAGATGCTAGCCATTGACTGTGGTGCCCCACCCCAGAAGCATGGGTTTGACTCCAGAATCTAGTCTCAACCAGAACCTTAGTAGCCATGAATAAATTATTTGAGGTGACGATTTAGGATAACATTTATTTTTCCATCCCCGGTCTAAATCTTTTGTAATCTTGTCTATTTAGAACCCTGTATCAGGGGACTCCAACCTCCCAGCAATTTAGTGATGCACTAGAAAGGATTGGGTCCTGGGTTTGAAACTGTGATGCTTTTTCCTTCTTTCTTTCTTTTGATGTTGGGAAAGCATCAGAGTATTTATTTCTAAAGTGATACTAATATGTACTCTTTAGACTATATGAAATAAATTAACTGCTTTTATCTGTAAACATGTGTCAGGTGGTCAACACATTTGTAATCTGAATAATGGTGTGTTTACGGTGGTTATTTTAGAACAAAGAGCAAGTAGAAGAGAAGGGAGCAAAACCAAAGCATGCACTGAGTACTCCAGGAGTGCAAGCTGACGGCGGGAGGCTGTGGGAAGGTGAGTGCATCTGCTTATTCCCATTGCACACACAATGACTCTGAATAAAATTATCAACAGTACCACTCATGTTGTGTTTGTTTGTTTATTTTTTCTTGCCTTTTGAGACTGGGTTTCATATAGCCCAGACTGGCCTTAAACTCACGATGTAGATGAGGATGACTGCACTTCTGATCCACTGGATTCCACCTCCTGAGCACTAAAATTATGAGTGTGCGCTATCACACATGGCTGGGTTACTTTTACAAAAGTTGATTTTCTTGTCCTTTTGGTTGTGAACCTGAGTCTTTAATGGCATCCCTCCAGCCCTATGAAAGTTAATTTTCTTTTAAAAGATTACATAATATTTTTAGGGTTTAGTAAATTAACAAAACAAGGCATGCCGAGAGGAGTCCAGCTTCTGCTCTTCCCCCTTGTGCCCTGCTTTCTCCGTTCATATGGAATCACTTACAAAGCCTCTGTCTTATCTTTCCCTTGAGGTTCAGTAGATGAAGACCACATTATAAGCAGTTGTGTGTTTATACACACTTGTACATTAGAAAACACAGCCTCCCTTCTTAGAGAAATAGGCTTTCATACATACTGTTGTCCGCCTTGCCTTTTACCTCACGGTGTATTCTGAGATCACTCCATAGTGGCGCATAGTGATATTAACCTTTCATTTTTTAAATGGCTGTAGAACACTCCATGGTGTGGATGTTCCATGGTGCAGACACCTTCTTGATGGCAATTTGGGTCATGTCCAGTTTGGGGCTATTATAAAAGTGGTTCACAGCCTTATGTATATGTTCTTCTTTTCTTTGTGATCGGTGTCTTCTAATGGAAGTGCATTTTCACCCTGTTATCACTGCAGAGAGCCAGAAGGAGGACATATCAGTGGGGACAGTGGAGAGGCTGCCTTTCATCAGCACTTCAGGGAAGGGAGCTGACCTCACCCAGGCAGGAGCCTCACTGGGTCAGGGAGTTGGAGATCTTGGTCATTGGCTATTACCCATAGAAGCAGAAGCCAGAACTGCTGAAACATCCAGTGAGAACCCTGGGACTACTTTGGAATTGTCTACAGCACGCAACAGAATCAGTGAAAACTTCACCAGCCTTGAGATGGCACAAAGTGCAGGACAAGGAACAGCATCCAGCAAACCTGAGTGTTGGCTCTCAGAAGAGAGCACAATGCTGAATTCAGGGCCTATCCTTCAATCCCTAGGGCCATTAGCTCTAGCCAGGGAAGTTCACAGTGGCGAAGAAGAACTTCCAAGGTAAGGGACATTCTTTTATGTTGGGCAAGGGGACCTTAGAGCAGTTCACTTGCTGGCCACAGAATTACCTAGGAGGATAAGAATGAAAAGAAATGCCAGTGCCCAGAGACTCTGATTACTTTAGTCAGGAGTGATTCTCAGGTTCTGGTTTTGCTTATTTGTTTTTGTAACGCTAATGGAGGGGGGTATGGGTAAGAATTAACTTTTAGATAACTAAACAAGCACTTTAACCATATTCCAGCATGGGTATAGCCTTTTGCATGAATTATCTTCATTTTATTCTCCTAGTATTCCCAGTAAATGAAGGTGGTTGTCTTCTTATATTACTGATGATGAAACAGGCTCCAAGTACCACCATCATGTGAAATTGGGGTATGAGACCAGCTTCCTGAATCTATGTGCCTAATTGCATCTGTTTCCTTGGGTCAGCATTTAAGGCCTAAACAATATGGTGAAGAGAGAAAGATGGGGCAGATGGAGTCAATCTAGGGTTTCAGGAGGTTTAAGTCAGAGGTTCTGGAGATGGAGTTATGGCAGCTGTTCTGGTGCTTAGGGCATAGCTTCAGGCCCTGTGCTCAACAGACAATGTGGGAGAATGAGGACTCTGCTGCGTATCAGCCCTGGCTCTATTCACTGGTCCTGTGGTGCAGCACAAGCCGTGCCCAGAGCAGCCTTCCAGGTCCTGTGGTGCAGCATATGCTGGTGCCCAGAATACCTTGTGAGGACACTAGGCTTTCTATACTTCTCACAGAGAGACTTGGTGCCCCTGAACCTGCCCTGACCCCAAGGCCTGGAACTGGGAGATGATATAGCATCTTTTTCTGTTGTAATAGGCAGAGAAGAGATGATTGTCTGTCTTTGTTCTAGAGGAAATGGGAGCCTTAACAGGCCTTCAGGAGGAATTCCTGGTTGATATCCCTGGATTCAGGCCAGAGCTCTGAATGTGAAATCTGTGGCCAGGTGTGAACTTTCCATGAACTTGATAGAGGCCCAAAAAGAGTCTGCGTGAGAAGTACTGTCCATCTCTGTCTTAGCCCTGATTGAATTTTAGACATACCAAATCTAAAGCAGGTCTCAAGAAATGGGGAGGTTACCACCTGCTTTTCCTCCCTAGCACCTGAGTGTTTTTTGAGGAAAATAGATTGAAAATTAGCAGTTTTGACTAGAAGGGACTGCTTATATAGACCTCCTATGATCATATACGAACTTGGCAGCACAAAGTTTTGTTATTGATTGGCAATGTCTGTGGTGGGTGCTGTCAGTAGGTAAGAAAGATTTGGACACTAAACATGACTCAGAGCTGCATGACTTTGGGGTTCATTCCTACCTCCTCTGGAAGGGAAGACCAAAGAGGGCTTCAGTGGCTACTGGCTACCGGCTACCTGGATACTCCACTGGCTACCTGGATACTCCTCCAGCAATTGGTTTGTCATAGTTTTCTGGATCCCTTGGTCTGAGATGAGGACTTGGGGTAACTTAACTTGAATACCTAACATCATCACTGACCAATATCTAGTCCCAAGTGTTCAAAATCAAAGGACTTTGCCTCTTGTCCAGTCCTTAACTGTAAACAGTCTGCCTGCCAGTCTCCCAAGTGCACCACTCAGGGTCAACTGCCATTCTCAGAGGCCCGGCATCTCAGAAGTGGGGGGCTCAGCTTTCAGCTGCCAGAGAAAGGCTTTGCATGTTTATCTTTTTCTTTTTTCTTGTGATTTAAAAACAAAAAACAAAACCCCAAAACACATAACATAGAATTTACCCTCTTAGCAAAGCTTGTGTGGTGCTAGGGATGGCATCCAGGGCTTTGTGCATGCTAGGCAAAGACTTTATCACTAAACTCCACCCCTGGCACATCTTAAACATTTTTTTCTTTTTAAAAGTCTGAAAAGTGGATCTGGAAAGATGGCTCAGCAGTTAAGAGCACTTGCTACTCTTGCAAAGGACCCAAGAACCAGCTCTAACTCTAGTCCTAAGGGATCCAATCCCCTTTTCTGGCCTCTGTGGGCATTGCATGCATGTGATGTATTTACATACATTCAGGCAAGACACTCATAAAGTAAAATTAAACCTTTAAAAAAATCTAAAAAGTCATGTTGTGCTTCTTTTTGTAAACAAGTTTCTTTGTAAAAATATTTTTTCACTATTTGTTTATTTATTTATTTATTTATTTTCTGTCTGTCTGTCTGTGAGTATATGTGCACTTCTGCATGCAGGTGTACTGGTGTGTCTGGATGGAGGCCAGAAGAAGGCATCGGGTGTCCTCGCTCACTCCTGCCTGTTCTTTTGACACAGAGTCCCTGAATCTGGGTTCACGTTTTCTCAGCTAGACTGGAAGCCAGCAAGCCCCAGTGATTGTCTTGTCTCTGCTCTGCTCCGAGCTAGGGTTTCTTCAGTCCCTGCTTTTTCAGTGACGTTTGAGCTTCAAACTTGGAGGCAAATTTTCCTTCAAAGAATAAGTGCAGACTAATAAAAATCTGCTAATCTTTGCTTAACTCCCAATGTACAATTTTATATCACATATACTACATACTCAAACATTTTTTGTTGGTTTTTTGAGAGAGGATTTCTCTGTGACCCCTGCTGGCCTGGAACTTCTTATGTAGACCAGGCTGGCTTTGATCTCACAGAGCCCTGCTTCTGCCTCCCGAGTACTGGGACTAATAGTCCATGTTCAATTTTTTGATCTTTTATATAGCATATTAAAAAAAACTATTAGGAAAATTGAGCTACCAAGATCAGAGATGTTATGGCAGTGCACAGTTCTGACAAGGCATGGACTGGACCCAGGGAAGGCCTTGCACATACCACCAGGGGCTCTACCACTGAACTTCAGCCTCGGCACTTCATTGTTTTTAACCTCTAGGCTATATCTCTCTCTACCAAGGATCTCCACCCATAAGCATGAGATGGGCACTCCCAGGAAGCTGCTTGTGTTACAGAGGAGCAGCCTGAGACCCACTGCCCCTGCAGAAGCTCCAGCGGCCACCCAGCCCGATGAGCAGGACCTACATAAAGTACCTGGAACTGAGTTGGAAGACCAGATCCCTAAAGAGGTCAGACCATTTCCACCCCTGCCAAAGAGGAGCAGCAACTGGGGAGTGTGTTTAGAGGAGGCGCCAGGGCCTGGGGCCGAGCCTATCACAGAACCAAGCTTGGCCACAAGGGACAGGGGAGATGAAGATGTTGGGTCCCCAGGCCTGCAGCAAAACACAGTCCCAGGAGCAGGGCACCCTGAGCCTGGAAAGGACCATGCAGCCAAGTGCTCTGGGAGAGCTGAAGCTGGAGGGAGGATGCCCCCTGGTGCCGAGGCTGCCAGTGTAGTTCTGGGTAAGTGAGTCTGTGGCCTGTTTGACAGGTCCTGAAGTCAGTGAATGGAGGCTTCTTACAGCTTTCGTAGATGATGTGGTTCTGGGCATGTCCAGGACTCTGGAATAGTAAGTCCTGGTACTGGAGTCTAAGATGTAGAAATTTGATTGGGTTTGGTGGTAGGGAAGATGGGAACTATGTGGCTCAACTACGTGAGTAGACTTCTCAAAGTTACTTGCTACCTGAGGGTTCCACCACTGGTATCACTTTTGCATGGAGCTGGGGAAGGCTCTTGTTAAAAAGTAAAAATAAGGGGGGCTAGGGATGTAGCTCGGTAGAATGACGCTGAAGCCCTGTGTTTGCAACATTGCGTAAAACTGTGTGGTGCATTCCTGTAGTCCCAGCACTTTTGAGGTGGAGGCAGGAGGATAAGCTCAAGGTCATCCTTAACTATATAATGAGTTTGAGACCACCTTGTACTATGAGATGCTTCCCCAACTAGGAAAAAAAAAAAGAGGAAAAGTAAAGACATTGGCTGATATGTGTAAACCATTGTCAGCAATTCCCACTGTCACTTGAAACAGGGTGGAGAGCTTTTGAGCTACTTGCTGTCCCAGTGGGGAGGGAGATATCCTCATGTTCTTTGCCACAAAAGTCTTCAATCCCTCCAGTCCTAGAATCTCCCTCCTTGGTGACAGAATTGTCTGTGGAGTACTCCTGGCAGGGGGGAGAGACCCCCCCCAGACAAGTCTTGAACAATTGTCAACCTTCCAGCTATTGGGACATAAACTATTTTATAATATTGTGATTGGTGTGTACTGTGGATTATATTTCCTTCCTTATAATTTTATGTAACATCTTTAGGCTTTCATATTACCTGATTAAGCAGAAAACTCAACCCTAAATATCTTTATTTTTTGTCTTTCCAAGTACCAGCAACCCTGTTTCTCCTCTAGATCTACTGTCCGTTTTTGCCACCCTGTGCCCCAGAAGCTGCTCACTTTGTGCTCAACCACAAGTTATTTTGCCCTCCAGGTTCTAGTTGAGATCCTCTATCTGGAGGTCAAGGGCGAGAGAAGCGAGGTGGTGTGTTTCTTTCACTAGCTGCACATCTCTCATACCCTTCTGGCTGTTTTCCCATAGCCCTTTTTTATCTTTAAATGCAACCTCCTCATGAAATTCTGTGAAAGCTTTGTGAATTATTGAAGGCTGCATTGATCCATCTGGAATTCCCTTCCAGATTTTGCGAACAGGCTGAGTATAATTTCTTAACTACTGGTCTAGTGGCCAATGAAGCTGAATTTGAATCCCACCTGTCATTGGCATGCTAAGTAACTTTGAACCTGACCTCTTTGAGACTCAGTTTCCTTTTCTGCCAAATGGGTGGCTCCAATGAGTTGATTCTGGAGGCAGGGCTCTGAAGTACTAGGGCTGTAAGAAAGGCAGAGGGCTTGCCACCTGGTAACCCAAGTGAAGTTTAGTGCTTTTAGGATGGGGTACTGCATGTAGGAGAGTCACAGGTCCCTTCTTATCTTCCTACAGATGACAGCATAGCCCCTCCAGCCCCATTTGAACACCGGGTGGTGAGTGTCAAGGATACCTTGATCTCAGCAAGCTATACAGTGTCTCAACATGAAGTGTTGGGAGGGTAGGTATACAGTCTATCCTGATGAAGGGCAGGGATTGGGGTGGTGAGACAGACCTGCTTGGAGAATGAATAGAGGTATCCCTAGGGTGAAGATGGCTCCATGTGTGAGTGGGGAGAGGTCCAGGAGACCCTCAAAGTAGGGACATGGGAAACCCATCCCTGAGGCTGGCATGATGCAGAGTGGGTGAGGGGGATATTCCCTAGGGTCCAGGATAGCCTACAGTAGAGAGAGGAGGTTTCCCTTAGGCTGTAGGGTAGACCACATGTGTGGATGGTAAAGAAATTATTTTCTAGATTTCAGGTTAGCTTGCCTTGGTGATTGATGACTAGGCAATATCTTGAGGTGAAAGATAGTCTACGTGGTGTGTGTGTGGAGGAGAGGAGAAGTGGCTACTCATGAGTTCAGTGAGATTTTCCTACTCTCAGCCTACTGCATCCCTGTCTCTCTGTAGGGGCCGGTTTGGCCAGGTATACAGGTGTACAGAGAGGTCTACGGGTCTCACTCTGGCAGCTAAGATCATCAAAGTGAAGAGCGTCAAGGACCGGGTGAGGCATCTGCTCCTGGCTGGCCAGATCCTTCTAACCAGAATCCAGACTCATTCATTTCCAATACAGTCCCCTACTCCAGCTGCTCTTACCCAGGTCCAGCAGGGAACTTAATGCTTTCCCTGCCTCTGCCTTGACTCCCACACTCCATTCTGTACATAACCTGCATTCCTCAGGCCAGACCACGTTTGTGTATGTGGGCAGCCTGCATGGCTCTGCCAACATGCTTGCAGGACCTTGGGCAGCAAAGCCCTTTCCTTCTTGGGCCTCTGATTTCCTATCAATGAGATAGGTAAGTAGCTTGAACCAAGGTTTTTTCTGTTACAAGAACATGAACATGGTTGGACAGTGAATCAAGGAAATTGAAGAAGAATATAGGACAGTGTGTGTGTGTGTGTGCGGGTGTGTGCTGGTGCTCTAGTGTGGTGTGGTGTGTGTGTATGTGTGTCTTGGGAGATGCAAATGGCTCCTCTTCCTGACCTATTTTCTTGGAAAACCCCCTTTCCTTTTGGTTCCATAAGGAGGATGTAAAAAATGAAATCAACATCATGAACCAGCTCAGTCATGTAAACCTGATCCAACTTTATGATGCCTTTGAGAACAAGAACAACTTCACCCTTGTCATGGAATAGTGAGTATCTCAGAGGTGTTGAAGGTGGCTTCTCTTCAGGCTGGGCGCAAGGCTGGGACTGAGAGCCTTCAGTCTAAGCAATGCTCTCATTCCTCTCCCCATGGGAATGCCCAGGGCCAGGCCAGTTCCTCTTCTCTGGTTTTACTGTTTGAACTCCATTATGGAACTTGGAGGACAAAGCCATTTTGTCACAAATCAGTGGCCAGCATGTCTAATTTTCCTGTAGATATGTCAGTTAGACCTAAACAATTTGTAGTGATTTTGTATGAGTTATTAACAGTTGGAAATTGGAAAATGTGGATAGAAATGGGAAAATCTTTAAATCTGGATTTTCTTGAAAATATAAAGAATTCAGTTATGTTGAACTCACACTTATGTCTGTAAGAGGTATGCTGGACTCACAGTGGCTTCTGTCTTCTGTCTTCTGTTTACCATTGTGCCTCTCACTCCCAATGATTTATTTGATTATTTTAAACTGACTTATTTTATTATTTGCTTATGTGTGTGTGTGTGTGTCTGTTTGTCTATCTGTCTGTACAGGTACATGCAAGTGCCCATGAAGAGGGAATAGGGCACTGGCTTCCCTAGAGGTGGAGTTACAGGCAGTTAGCTGTTTAATGTGGGTGCTGGGAACTGAACTCTGGTCCTCTGTAAGAGCAGCAAGCGCACGTAGCCACTGAACCATCTTTCTTGCCTCACAACTGACTCTTGACACTGAAGCTGTGGACTCAGGGCCATTTATCATTTGCTTTTGTTGCTGTTTACCTTCTGCAGGGCTAAGGAGAGAAAGACATCTGTCAAACAGATATCTTTCAAAAATGGAAAAACGGTGAGTTCAGTGGTAGAGTGCTTGCCTAGCACGTGTGAGGCCCAGGGTTCAATCCATAGTGCTGTCTCCACCAAAATTGGGGAAACAAAAAATCCTTTTGTCTCATATGTGGTTTTATTTGCCTAATTTAGGCTTCTTTTTATTTTTCAACCAATTAATTAGTTTATTAATTGGTCTTTTTTTTTTTGGAGGCAGGATTTCATGAGCCCAAGTTGCCCTTGAACTTACTATGAATGGTCTTGAACTGATTCTCCTTTCTCCACTTCCCAAATGCTGGGATTTTAGGTATGGGCCACCATGCCCAGCTTCATTTGGGCTTCTTGCCATATTGATACTAGTTGATACACCCAACCAGCTAAGTTTGAAACCCACACTTAGATTATCCAGAGTCTAAATTATCAACATGGAAAACCTTCTGCTGGGAATAGACCAGAGCAAAGGACCAACAAAATCCCAGATGGCAGGGTCAGGAGCCCTGTGTGACCAGCCTTGGGTTTCCCATGTGGTATAACCAACCTTAGGCTTACCTGGCCTGGCTGCTTTTGGCCCCCTGGTGAGAACAGTGGATAGGTCCTCTGGGAGCTTTGCTCAGTTTGGTGCCCATATCTTGCTTTTCTCTGACAGTGTGGATGGAGGTGAACTCTTTGAGCGGATCACAGACGAGAAGTACCACTTGACTGAACTGGAAGTGGTCTTATTTACCAAGCAGATCTGTGAGGGTGTGCATTACCTCCACCAGCACTATATCCTGCATCTGGACCTCAAGGTCAGCTCTGTCCTGGGGCTGGGGAAAGTGCCTTCTGAGCTTCTAATTCACTAATCATTGAGAGCTCTGTAAGAAGACAGGTCTTGGTTTCCTTCCTGACTATGTAATTTCCTAGTTCTAGAGTCTTGAACAGGCCTGTTAAGTTAGCTCTATTCTTGTTTGTGACTTATGGATGACTATGCCTCAAACTTTAAGTATTATTTCAATATTAAATGATACAATTACTTTTTTTTCTTTTACAAATGTCTTTAAAATTAGTTTAGGTCAACTGGAGAGATGACTCAGTGGTTAAGAGTGCTTGAAGCTCTTCCAGAGGATCTGAGTTCAGTTCCCAGCACTCACGTTGGTTGACTTACAACTCTATATAACTCCAGTAACACTATCTCCAGGAGATTTAATGTTCTCTTTTGACCTCCATGGATACCCACACATGTGTGTCATATACTTACACAGACATTCGTACATATAAATAAAATAATATATATTTTGAGACAGGGTCTCACTGTGTATCCCTGGATGACCTGGAACTCACTATGTAGACCACATTGGTCTCAATTTATAGAGAGGCCTCCGCCTCCTGAGTGCTGGGATTAAAGTCATGCATCACCATGATCTGCAAAATAAAGTTATTTTTATTTATTTATGTGTGTGTGTGAAAATCTTTAAAATCAGTTTTAAAAAAGTTTAAGGGGTGTGTGTGTGAGGTGGTTCTTTGGATAAATGTTATTGCTACCAAGACTGATGACCTAAATTAGATCCCCGGTACCCACATTGTAGACGAGAACAAACTCCAGCAAGTTGTCCTCTGACTTTCATACATATGTTGTGGCACATGAGTATGTGTATACATGTACACACACAAACAACACACACATCAAATAAATAAATGCAGTTTTTTCAAGTTCAAGTGGCAGGCTCCAGAGGGAGTGGTAGGGGAATAGGAAGTGAATATGATCAAAATATATTATACACATGTATAAAATTGTGAAAGAGATAAAAAATTATGCAAGGCACTGGGGATATGTCTTAGTGATTAAGAACACTTATTGCACAATCCTGAGACTGAGAGTTCAGATCCCAGAATCCACATAACAAACTGGGCATGCTTGTAACCCTAGCACTGAAGAAGGATTACTGGGGGTTACTTGTTTCCAGCATAGTTGAGGAAACATGAGCTGCGCTTTCAGGGAGTGTCTCTGCCTCAAAGGAATAGGCAGAGGTGTTGGAGGAAGACTCCAATGTCATCTTCTGGCTCCATGCATGTGCATAGGAGCACATATCTACACACAAGTTCATATACTCTCTCTCTCTCTCTCTCTCTCTCTCTCTCTGCATAGGAGCACATATCTACACACAAGTTCATATACTCTCTCTCTCTCTCTCTCTCTCTCTCTCTCTCTCTCTCTCTCACACACACACACACACACACACACACAAATAAAATTATTTTCTGAAAAGGTCAAGGGACTGGGGAGATGACTCAGTAGATAAAGTGCTTGCTGTACAAGCATGAGGACCTGAGCTCAGATCTCCAGCACCCATTTAAAACTGTGGTCACATGCACCTGTAATCCCAACACTGGGAGTGGAAATGGGAACTCTGAGGACTCCCTGGCCAGCAAGTCTATCTAATTGATGAGCTTTAGATTCAGTGAGACACCCTATCTCAAAAGTAAGGTGGAGAGGGCACAATGGTTAAAAGCACTTGCTGTTCACCAGAGGACCCAAGTTCAGTTCTCTGTATTCTTGTTGGGTGGCTCACAACAACCTGTAGCTCCATCTCTTGGGGTTTTTGCTCCCTCTTCTGGCCTCTGAGAGTATTGCATGAATCAATATTTCTCTCTCTCTCTCTCTCTCTCTCTCTCTCTCTCTCTCTCTCTCTCTCTCTCTCTCTCCTCTCACCACATACATAAAATATAATGAAAAAGCAATGTGGAGAGTGATTGAGGAAGACACCCTCTGGCCTCTCCCTCTCCACACATCCATATATGGGCACACACACCTGCACAGAGATGTGCACATATAGGGGTACACACACACACACACACACACACACACACACACACACACACAGTTTAAAAGGGAACATAATGCAAGTGGCAATAAATATGGGTAATATAAGTAAAATGCATAGTAGTTTTCCTCACCCAGTCTTCATGAATGGAGTCCTTTTGTATGAATGACTTGGCATTATGCAGGAATACCCACAAAGGGGTCACACAATGCATCTTGATTTTGAAAAATATTATTGGGTGCTGAAGAGATGGATTAGTGGTTAAGAGCATTGGCTACTCTTCCTGCAGAGGAACTGGATTCAGTTCCCAGCACCCACATGGTAGCTCACAACCATCTGTAACTCCAGTTGTAGGGGATCTGATGTCATTTTATGGTTCCATGGGCACCAGCATGTATGTGTTACACATGAAAACATGCAGGCAAACACTCATACAAATAAATCTTTTTTTAAAGACAGGGCCTTCTGTAGCCCCAGCTGACCTGGATCTCGCTATGTAGAGCAGGCTGACCTTAATCTTAGATCTACCTACCTCTGCCTCCTGAGTGTTTGGATTAAAGGTGTGTGCCTCCAGTTCTGGCACATAAAAATTTTAAAAATCTTAAAACTTGATTGTTGAATTGATTAATTGTGCATGTGTGTGCATACAAGCATGTACTCATTATAGCACAGGCATGCATATTTCATGATGTAGGTATGCCACAATGCATGTGTTCAGGTCAGAAGACAACTCTCAGGAGTTGGTTCTCCCACCATGTGGGTTTTGAGGATCAAGGTCAGGTGTCAGGCATGCACCTTTACCTGCCATTTTACAGAGCTTGCATCTTATTTCCAAAGCTTGCTTCTTTCAGTTAACAATGCATTACAGACATCTTTTCTTATTATTTTAAAGGTCTATCTGATATTCCACTGAGCAAGTATATTATACTTTCTTTTGTCTCCCAGGAGTGTCCCAGGGCTGTCATATATATAAAATCCCAGGTATGGTTCCTGGCTGGTGGTAAGCACATGGAGGTCCTTTCTGAGATTTCCCACTCCATTTCCACAACAAGAGGGTGTTTCTGTACAACCCATTTCAGGAAGGGGGTGTATTTCAGTGACCTCCTTTCAGAAGATGGGCAGTGGGAAGCTTTACCTGTAGGGCTGCACATTGCTCCTTCTGACCATCTTTCATGGTTGGCATCAGACTGTAAAGTTAAGATATTCAGAAAGATGGTGGACAGGGAGAGGGATTGGACTCATTTGTCACTAGAGATAATTTCAAAGCTTTGGATCAGCTTTTCTATAGGATGAACATTTACAGACAGCTTGGGAATCTTCTTTGTGGTTCTGGGTCAAGGAACAGCCTTTGGAGCTGGGGATCCCTGTAGCCCTGCAGAAAAGAAGCAGTGTTTACTGAGGCCGTTTCTCAGGCAAGAGTAGGGCTTGCTTGCTTGTGAGGCCTTGGAAAGCTCCTAGAGTCTGTCAGTTACAAGGTGGGACACTCCTATTTCCTGGGAGTGTGGTACCAGTACTGGATTCCAGATTCACTATGCAAAAAAGGAAAATATTGTTTTAAAAATGTGTATGAATATTTTGCTTACATGTATGTAAGTGCACCACGTGGATGTTTGGTGCTTGAATAGGTCAGAAGAGGGCATCAGATCCCCTGGAAGTGGACCTACAGACAGTTGTGGGCCACCATGTTGGTGCTCCACTCAGTACTCAGTAATCAGTACTGCCTTCCCCACAAGTTGTCAACTCAAAGCTGCAAACATTGTTTTAGGCCCTGAACATTGTTTTGGGCTCCTTCAGGGCCTCAGAGCTGATCTGAAAGACCTAAAAGGAAAAGTATGTTATGGCCAACATTCCTAACCCATGGACCATGGTCATCTCTACAAAACTGTAGATACACTGTCTCCCCAGCTGGGAATGGTACCATTGCATGCTAGGCAAGTGCTTGACCACTGATCAATATCTCTAGCATCCTCTCTCTTTTTCCAAGTCTGGGTCTCACTATGGAACTTATGCAGGCCTCAAACTTGCAATGCTCTTCTTTTAGCCTTCTGAATGCTAGGACTGAGGCTTGTGGCACCACATCTGGCTAGCTCTATTCTCCTTGATCAAACTTATGTTGCTTTGGTCTCATTACTTGGGTATTGGGACTTTTAAAATTTCCCTGATGAGGGGCTAGGATATAACTCAGTTGGTACAGTACTCATCTAGCATGCCCAAAGCCCTGAGTTTGATTTGATCCCCAGCACTATATAAAGCTGGGTGTAATGACACACTTTTGTAACCTCAGAATTTGGAGAAAGGCACAGAAAGATCAGAAATTAAAGATTGTTCTCAGCTATGTAGTAAGTTTGAGGCCACTCTGGGATACATGAGACCCTGTCTCAGAAAAATAAAAATACATAAAACTCTGCTGGTGATCCTAATGCTCAGCCAATGCTCACAACCATTGCCATAAGGCAGTCATCTCACATGAGTGATGCCTGGCCAAATCACCATCACAGAAGTGTTCTCTTTGGTTCTCACACATGATGTGTGTTTATTTACATTTAATTTCATTGTCAGCACTTAAAAACGTGGAGTTTTCACACAAAACCTGCATTTCTGACTTAAGGACTGAGAAACTGACAGCTGTGCAGCTTCCTTCTCGGTGAACAGTAACTGGCACTGAGCAGTGGTTGCCCTTTTACATAGAACAGAAGTTTCACTTCCCCACAGTCTACACCAACTCCTTTTTGTTTTTTCAATTATTTATTTTTAATTATGTGTGTGGATGTGGATGAGTGCAGGTGCCCTTGGAGGCCAGGAGAGGGTGCCAGATCCTCTGGAACTGGAGCCACAGGTGAGCCACCTGATACAGGTGCTGGAAACCAATCTCAGGTCCTTTGTAAGAGTAGTACAGCTTCTTAACTGCTGAGCCATCTCTCCAGCCCCCTATACCAACTCGTACTGTTTCATTAATGCACTCCATTTATTTTCATTATCTTTCTAGCCCTATGCTGCTACCCTAAGCCATTCACTTCCCAAGAGGAAACCGAGGCTTATGTGGGAGCTGTAGGCTTCCTTAGCTGGGATAGTAGGGAT